ATTATCATCAGGGTGGGGTTAAACGGCTTCCTGGGGAACAGTTCTGTAATGTTAAGTGACGGCATACACTATGTAAAAATTGAGGTGGTGGAGTTATGAATGATTTTCCCGATTTTATATATTAAACGGTAGTGTTCTGTAATTTTTTTTAAAACTCACTTTACTTTTGTGAGAACTTGCACATTGAGGCCTTCTAATAGACATTTTGTTTTCCTTTAGTTTTCTGTTTGGAACTTCACATGCATCACGTAGGATGCAGTTTTTCCCTTTTTTGGAAAGACACGAATTCAGTTATTTAATATAAAAATTATTGAAGACTTTATTGAATTACTAGTATTTCAGAGTTTCAACCTAGGGTTCTTTATAGTCTCTGAAAGGCATATTATTGCAGAGGGAGTGATACATCAGGTGTGGGCGTTATTGAAACTATTATTTTAATCATCTTTGATCCCATTAACTTTAACTTTATATGCCAGGGTCATCATTGTGAACATCAGTTTTTTGCTTGTGGCCCCAGTACTGTGCACTGAAATTTTCTCTTCCTCTGCCTACTAAACACTGTACCTGGTTGTGCTTGCTGTTTCTGCTCTCCTCCTAGCTGGCTGGTTCAGCTTCCTGGGGTGAGTATTTAGTTATGTCTGTTCAGGGCAACTTCACAGATGAGCAGCCACAGGGGTTAGATTTCGCCTGGGTAGGTCCCCCATCTACTAAGAAGTGGCTCTTTGTCTGGAATGCCAACGACAGCTCATCCATCTTTTTGAACATTTCTTGTATCCTCACCCATTCTCCCCTCCTTCTGATGTGGGAAACAAAGGCAGAAGAAAAATTAAATTTCCTTACCACTTACAACCCACTGACAAGTCCTTGAAACAGGCAGAGTGACATTCCTCTAGGCACTCATCTGCCTGGATGTTAATACTTTGCTAAGGGCAAAAGGCAATCTTAGCCCGACCCCCAGGCTCCTGTTAGTCTACTTTAACATATAAAAATTCCTTTGGAAACGTCCTTTATCTCTACCCCCCGAGATACGTGTTGACAATCACCCCCCAAGCTTATAACTCACAGATAAACATCTGAAGGGTCTCATGACTAAGGTTTTATTAGACAGTAATAAATGACCTTTTCCTAACAATAGCTAGCCCCTTCAAGGTCCTGGAAACCTTGCTTCCAAAATTCCTTAGAGACTTAGGCTATCCCTAACTCCCTCCCAACTTGAAAGTGTATAATCAGCCATCCTCACGACCCCCGGGTCGTGTCCCCATGCTTTAATAAAACCACCGTTATGCACCAAAGACGTCTCAAGAATTCTTTCTTGGCTGTAGGCCCTGAATCCCACCTTCTTTCCTACATCACTTCCACCTGTATGTTGGGACACTCATTTTGCTGAACAGAAAGAATTGACCTGATAATAGTTTATACTTCGTTAACAGTCAGTGAGGGCAGACAGGATTTCTGGCCCTTAGGACACAAAAGACCAAATTCTGTGCAGTTGACCTCTTCAGGCTCAGTCTCCTGCTCTCGTCCATTTTGCAGTGCCTTTCATTTACTTTCTTGCCTGTGGCAAAATTTACATGGCCATTCACGTTCCCGCCGCTTTTATCAGTATTTAATTTGAATTGCTACAAATGCTGTGCTGGATTGTAACTTTCTTTTCCTTTATTTTGAGATTACTACAGTTAGCCTCTGTATTGATTTTTTGCGGGGGGGGGGGGGGGCTTTTTTAAAAACAATTTTTGGGGGGGAGGGGAATTATTCAGCCCTTCAAGGTCCTTCTAGCTGGATTAAAAATCAAATTGACAGAGACAAATTCACGGGAGAAAATCAAATTTAGTTTCATACATATGGGGAATCCACATAGACATGAAATTCCAAAGATGGGCAGCAGGTGGCTTACATGACTTATATTTTGAAGCTTATAGTCTGAGCTAAGGAGAAGGGTTAGGAGTCTGAGGATACAAACTGGAGCAAGACCATTAGCAGGAAGGTGAGAGGAGATCTTGGGAAAACAAAGATTGTTCCATTACACAAATAAGTTTCTTAGATAAAGAGGAATCTCTGTTAATGGCACTCTTCCTGGTACAGGGTCTTCTGTCCAACGTAAACCTAAGCAGTTGGTGGGGAGTCAGAGCTTTTCCTGCATCTGCTGGGCTTTGCTTGCTTTTAACTCAAAATATTGCTCATGCCAGCATGGCCCATCTTGGGGCTGTTTGCCCTTGGCCCCTACACCACTAACCATTTGCAGCCAGCTTGTAAAGGGGGAGGTATAGAGAACATATTTCAGGAGAAACAGAGCATTTTGGTATGTAAGGACTGGCAGTAATTAGAAATCAGTCTGCCATTTTGCAGTTCCCTGCAGGTCCCAGCACTGCAGCTGCACATAAGCAAAACAGCAATGGGAGCCTGTCAGAAGGATTTTGAGAGTGCAGTGAATCAGGTGAAGCTGTTGAAGAAGGATCCAGGAAATGAAGTGAAGCTCAAACTCTATGCACTCTATAAGCAGGTATGTGCCTGAGGTCTGACGTAATTTAGAGACATTTTGAGCAGAAGGCTTCTCAAATAGATCTGCCGTGTGTTTTACTGAAATGCAGCTTTCATATTTTTAGGGTTTGTATTACTGCCTTTCCTCTGAAGAGTGTCTACATGAGAGTTTTTCTACATTAGTCTTTGTAGTACCGTTAAGGCAAAAAGCGCATCAGGATCACTCTGGAGTCAGAGAGACTTTAAAAGAGATAACCACCAAAGGCATCTGATTAGAAAAAATCAACTGAAAAATTTTTTTTGAGACCACTGGGGAAATTTGAATGTGGATTGAGTATTAGGTGATACCTAGGAGTTATTATTAATGGCACCATTGTTATATAAGAAAATGTTGATGTTCTTTAGGAATGCACACTAAATATGTAGGGGTGAAATAGCATGCCGTTTGAGAATCACCAAAATGAAAGAAAGAAAGAAAGAAAGAAAGAAAGAAAGAGAGAGAGAGAGAGAGAGAGAAAGAGAAAGAAAGCAAGAAAGAGAAGAGAAAGCAAGCAAGCAAGCAAGCAAAAGAAAAAGAAAGAAAAAGAAAAAAGAATGGACAAAGAAAGTATGGCCAATAAATGATAGTTATTGAGTTAGGTCGAGTATTGGGAATTCATTATAATATTCTACTTTTCTACATGTTTGAAAATTTGTATAACAAAAATTTAAAACTAAAATTTTTAAGTTGTGATGTCTAAAGACAACCTTGGGAAGTCAGCTGATTTGGGGCTCCTGTGTGTGATCTATTTTCCTCTTCCCATGATCGGTACCAGCCTCCCTTAGTGTCCTATGGGTGTGTATAGTGAAGAATTTGACATTGCTCAAAAAGAGACCAGGACTTTGCCCTTGACTTCTGGGAGGTAATCCCTAAGCCCTGAAAAGATCATGCCTGCTAAGGAGTGTCTTTGTCGGCCTGAGGGTCTTAACAATGTGATTTCGAGTCGGGGCTCCTGGCTGCATATTCAAGTCATGCCTACGTTATGGAGCCCCATATGAAAACTCTGAACACCAGGGCTTGAGTGACCTTCCCCGGTGGGCAGTACTCCCTGTGCATTATCACACATCTATTCTGGGAGAAGTATTGTTTCCTGACTCCAGGCTGGGTTGGGGAGGGGGGCTTGTGGATCATGTTGCCTCTCACTTCTCTCTGGCAGGGTGACCGGTGTCTCTTTGTCTTTGGAAAGTCTAAGCCTGCTCCACTGCTTTTGTTTCTCAAAGGCTCTTTCTTCTTTCCTCTTTTAGCAAATTAACAGGATTTGAAGTTTTTACATGTGGCCATGTAAGTGGCATGGGATACTCATCTCAAAACACTCCACCTACTCTCAAACAAGTAAAATTTAGTTGTTTTTATGGTTTCTATTTACATGGCCTTCATTTAAGTTTCCAGAAGGCCAGTGGCTTTGACACCCTCCCATCCCTGCTACCCCAAGTAGGAATCTGTTCAGTTGGCAGAAATCCACCACTGAATTAAGTGGTATTTTTTGTACCTTCGAGTGGGCTTTCAGAATATACGGTAGGTTTCCAAATGTTTGTTGTCTGGTTACTTTTGAAGATAGTTTGCTTGAATATTTTGATTGTGTGTGAAAAATGGGATCATCAGTATAAAACTAATGAACTATTGAAGTTTTTAAAAAGTACTTTGCCAAAACCGTTGTCTTGCATTGTTTTCATAAGCAGGCATTTAGAACTTACTTTAGGAACTGATAGCTGATGGCACATTTTGTTTCTCCAGTCTTTTTTCTGTTGTGTATTTTCACCTGCAGCATCAAAGACAGTGCAAGGGAAAGGTTAAGATGAATTTATGTATCTTCTAAAAGTGTTTGGGAGGGGAAGGTGCATTCACGCTGGTTGTGCATTTTATGGATCTTAAATATTTGACACTCCAATTTGCATGGACATTTGACTGATAATTGCCCCTCTCCTTTTCACAGGCCACTGAAGGGCCTTGTAATACACCTAAACCAGGTCTATTCGACTTGATCAATAAGGCCAAATGGGATGCATGGAATGCTCTTGGCAATCTGCCCAAGGTAAATTTACTTGCTACTTTGCTTTTATTTTAGTTACTACTTTGCTTTTATTTTACTTGCTATATTCCTGAAGGAAGATGGGTGCCTCTCATTATTAAACCATTGCAGATGGAACCTGTGAGATCTGGTTGGATTCTGTTGAATCAGACCTCTCTTCTTTCTTCATTGCAAGGTGCCATGTCTTAGCATCTTAAGTTTTCAAAGTGCTTATTTGTTGACCATGGGCTACAGTTATTTGTCATCTTCTCTTCAGGAAACTGCTAGGCAGAACTATGTGGATTTGGTGTCTGGTTTGAGGTCTTCGTCTGACTCCTCTAGCCAAGTGAAGTCTGAAGCAGACAAGAAACGAGCTGGATATGACACGCTGGTGATCACCTCTGAAGACTGCATCACAAAGATCATGTTGAACCGGCCCGCCAAAAAGAATGCACTGACCACACAGGTAACATGACCTGCCCTGGGAGTTTGTCCTGCTTTTCTTTCCTCCCTCTGTCTGTTTCACTGAACAGCTAGAATGTTTCAGCATCATTGCTATTTTTGTGATCTCTTGTTTGATTTATGCAAGAGGATTAGTAATGGTGCCCACTTCTTCATACAACTGAGTTGGGCATTTGTTAGTTAGAATTTGTTAGCTTTGGGTAGGTTCTGTGTGTCCAAAAAGCACTGCAACTTTCCTAGTGATGGAAGCACAAATAAATTAAATTAATACAAATGAAACATACATTGATATAAGAGAATAGGTATAGAGGTTCTCCAAGGTTGATATAGACCATCCCCAGACTTTGCTCATGTCACTTAGACTTGAGAGTGAGTACTGTTCAAGTTGCATGGGCCTTTATTTATACAAGTAGAGGGAGAAAGGAAAGAAGACGTTCATCTTAAATATAGCATAACCCAGTTCTGCTTCAAATGAGCCACCTGACAAGAGCTCCTTTGACCTTTGAGTCTTTTATTGAATTACAATGATAATAAAAATAACCACTTTTACCTCTTCCCCTTGAAAAAAATGTAGGGAATTAATTGGATGCTTGGTGCTAAACTGCCAAGTAAAATTTGAGGGGCTAAAACCCTTTCCATTGGGTTTATCATCTACATTGTAGCAGAAAGAGCGTGATCACTTAAAATGGTGTTAAATAAGAATTCCATGAAGTTGGATATGTGCCATTGACTTAGTAAAACATTTGATCCTCAAAATTTCATTGCCTTTGCCTCATTTCTGTGTAATCATGGTGATGATGATGATGATGGTGATGATAATGGTGATGATGGTGGTGATGATGATGGTGATGATGGTGGTGATGATGGTGGTGGTGATGGTGATGATGGTCATGATGATGGTGATGGTGATGATGGTAGTGGTGATGATGGTGATGGTGGTGGTGATGGTGATGATGGTGGTGGTGATGGTGGTGGTGATGGTGATGATGGTGGTGATGATGGTGATGATGGTGGTGATGATGATGATGGTGATGATGGTGATGGTGATGGTGGTGGTGGTGATGATGATGATGGTGATGGTGATGGTGGTTATGATGATGGTGGTGATGGTGGTGGTGATGATGATGGTGGTGGTGGTGATGATGGTGTTGGTGGTGATGATGGTGGTGATGGTGGTGATGATGGTGATGATGATGGTGGTGGTGGTGATGATGGTGATGGTGGTGATGATGATGGTGGTGATGATGGTGATGATGGTGATGATAAGGAGGTGGATAGTTATAGCATCTGCTCTTTACAGAGTACCTAGTGTGTGTCAGCCCTTTCCTCACAGAGGTTTCTTTAAATCCCACAAGGAGCCTAGTTTTAATACTAACAATAAAATAATTAGGTTAAGTAGTAACTTGCTCAAATTCACATAACTAATAAGCTGGAAAACCTGAATCACCCTAATATATCCATCTCCTAATCCCAGCTCTGGCCAATTACCCTGTCTTGCTGCATCATCATAACCATAATAATAATGGAGTTATTTCCTCCTTCCCTCCCTCAGTGAATACAATTTCACCCTTACTCACATATTATGTCAAGTCCATATTTTTTTTTCAGTGTCTGTGTATCCGTAAATATCAACCCTCTTCGTCATTCTCTCCCACACTGATGTCTTATCTGAGGTAGAAACGGGCACCAGTGCGTTAAAAGCCGTAACAGCGACACCTCCAAGATTTTCAGAGACGTTGCTGATTTAAAATATTGGACCTATTGTCTTTGGCTACCATTAGAGTGTCTTGAAATCCCAACCTTTAACACTTTTCAGAGTGCCTGGGACACACGTGCTCTTTTTTGAGGTCCCAGTTGACAAACTGCTTCATGGAAATCTTCCTCTGGCCGCCTCCCATCCTACCCATGCTAGACATCAGTGCTTCCTCCAAGCTGCCTGCCATGTCATACTTTCCACCCACTTTAGAGCTCCCCCTCTAGTAATTGCAAAAGCTCAAGGACTAGGTCTTATTTGTTCACTTTTGGGGAAAGGTGGATATATCCCCCAGTGTCCCTAAGCGCACATGGCATATGATACACACCAAATAACTGTAAAACGAATGAAAATCCTTTCGACTTGGGCTGCCTTTTTGGTTATGTAAATACAACCAACATTAATAGTTGGCGCTTTGCAGAGGACAGGCTTACAGACAGACTTTTAGTGAATCCCACGCAATGGTTGTGATTTTCAGAGTTCCTTTCTTTTTCTCGTTTCCCCCATTCACATAGATGTATCGGGAAATCATGCTTGCACTTGAAGCTGCAAGCAAGGATGACTCTACCATAACTGTTTTTACAGGTAAGACATTCTCTTGGATTTCTTAATAATTAAATTTCTATTTGGGGGGATTTCCTACCAGATAGGAAATTGAGTAAATAGCTCTGAGATATTTTCCAGTACTGAGATACTCTATTCTTTTTAAAGATGTTTTAATTTTTATTTTTTTCTAGCTTTCTTTGAACAAACCCAGTGAAGTTAGGCCCTGTAATTACTCTTATTTTATAGATGGGAACACTGAAAGGTTAAGTTTTGATAAATAGTGCTTTTACTATAGTTATTTTCTATATATTCTTCACTTTTGGTTTCTATTTCCACTTTGATCCAAGCTTTACATGATAATGATAATTCCCCTTTTTCTTTTTTTTAAGATTTTGTGTATTTATTTGACAGAGACACGGCAAGAGAGGGAACACAAGCAGGGGAGTGGGAGAGGGAGAGAAGGCTTCCTGCTGAGCAGGGAGCCCGATGTGGGGCTTGATCCCAGGATCTTGGGATCATGACCTGAGCCGAAGGCAGACGCTTAACAACTGAGCCGCCCGGGTGCCCCAATAATGATGGTTCCTTTAATTTCTAAAAAGGTTTTTGTTGTTGTTGTTGACTTGGTTGGTTTTTGGTTTTCCATTTCTGTTACTGATTCCTGGCTTCACTGAATTATAATCAGAGAGTATCAGTTTTACTAGATTTACTGTTTATTTATTTATTTATCTGGGGGGTGGGTAGAGGAGGAGGGAAAGAGCGAATCTTAAGCAGGCTCCCAAACCAGTGCGGAGCTCGATGCAGGGCTTGATCTCAGGACCCTGAGATCATAACCTGAGCTGAAATCAAGAGTTGGACGCTTAACTGACTGAGCCACCCAGGCGCCCCACTAGATTTACTTTTTAAAAATCTATTAAGTTTTGTGGGGCGCCTGGGTGGCTCAGTCATTGAGCGTTTGCCTTCGGCTCGGGTCATGATCCCAGGGTCCTGGGATCGAGCCCCGCATCGGGCTCCCTGCTCCGCAGGAAGCCTGCTTCTCCCTCTCCCACTCCCCCGCTTGTGTTCCCTCTCTTGCTGTGTCTCTCTCTGTCAAATAAATAAATAAAAAATCTTTTAAAAAATCTATTAAGTTTTCCATATATTACTCCATATTGAACTCTCTACCTTGAAGATAAAGAACTGGAAAATGGCCAATTTTTTATAGCATCCAGAAACTATTCAAAAAATAAGTTCGTTCTTTTAAGGTATAGAGTTAAAAATATATCAGTTAGACTGCCTTTTTCTAATTTATGTTAAGATTCCCCATTTCTGTTTTTGTCTTCTAATTAATCTCAGACTGAAAAAAGTAACTTAAAGGCATTTATTGCTATTATGTTTCTTTCAGTTTCTCCTTCATGTCAAAAAAACAAATTGCTTTAAAGCAAGTTTTTATCTTATTGACACTAAAAGACTTGTGAATAGTTATCCGTTATTATAAAATGGTCATCTTTTGTCTCACTTAATGCTTTTTTGCCTTGAAGTCAACCTTGTCAAATATTAATGCCACAACACCTGCCTCAGTACTCTTTGCACTTGCCTGGCAAACCTTTACCACCCTTTTAGCTTTCTGTCTTTCCGAATTACTTGTTACAGTCTGTGTCTCATAGAACACATTGTTAGATTTTCCCTCTTTGATCCGGTCTGAATTTTTTTTTTTTTTTGTAAAGGCCCCTTCACCTGTTTAGATTTATGTATATGACAGATCTGTTACATTTTAGCTCTGGCATCTTACATGCTTACTACTTAGAATACTTCCTTTGTTTTTTACTTCATGGTCCGTTTTTTCCTTAGTGTGTGTTTTACTTCTCATGGTTCGAAAGGTTTTTTCCCTGCTTTTAGTAATTGCTTTTATAGCTTTGTGTGGTACCCATCAATAACTCTAGCTTGTATTTTTCCCCTTGGACAAGGTCTGTTGGTTGCCCTATGAGAGTCGAGGAAGGGAGCATGCATTTCCCGACACCCTACAGACCTCTTTTTTTTTTTTAATTTTTTTATTGTTATGTTAATCACCATATATTACATCATTAGTTTTTGGAGCAGTGTTCCATGATTCATTGTTTGTTCATAACACCCAGTGCTCCATGCAGAACGTGCCCTCCTCAATACCCATCACCAGGATAACCCATCCCCCTCCCCCCCTCCCCTCTAGAACCCTCAGTTTGTTTTTCAGAGTCCATCATCTCTCATGGTTCGTCTCCCCCTCTGACTTACTCCCCTTTTCTTCCTCTCCTGTTATCTTCTTCTTTTTCTTTTTTCTTAAAATATGTTGTGTTATTTGTTTCAGAAGTACAGATCTGTGATTCAACAGTCTTGCACAATTCACAGCGCTCACCGTAGCACATA